AGAGGACACCAGAGCCACGAGAAAACTCCACCTGTGCTTAATAATTAGTTTTTTTGTTTCTTTGTTTTTACCAAAGCATGTTTGAGGAACCAGATTAATTTGCATATTTACAGTTGACAGCCCTGCTGTAGAAGATGGAAGGACTGTCTCCAATCTCTATATTTTCAGACCCTGATCTCTAAATTAGTCAGTTTTGGTGCAAACCCATTTGTGAATTTATTTCCTGTAACTTAGAGGAGAAAAAAAACAACCATTAACTGTCTACTGTGAAAATGTCAACATTGTCATCTGTCCTGAGTGTTTTCACACCAAACACTGATGATACTGTAAACACAGCAGCAGCACTATGTCCCACACACTGTCTGAGTTGTGCTGTTATTGTGTTGGAGTGAACCCTATTCGTCAACACCATTTTCTCTGAGTGTGGAAGAATAATTTTTAGAGACCATGAATGCTTCCTGTGTCCAGTGTCTGAAGACTCTGATCGTCTGCCTCCACTTCCTCTGCTGGGTAAGAGCTTCGTGAGTTAAACAAGCTGGAAACACATTCATTCAGTAACTTCCTCATATCTGATACTTTTTAACTCTTTGCTCCATTAGAGAAACTTTTGTCTTTCATGTACAGGGCCTGAACTTATTTTGTTGTTTTTCTTTGTTTTGCCTCACTAATTTTCTTCTTGCTGTGTTTTAGACAAACACGACAATTTTGAGATTTAATTTTCCTTATTTATTTTGCTACAGAAGCCTAACTGGACATTTGCATCCATTAAACGTAAATGTAGAGTCAATTAAATTCTCATTATAAAATAACACATTTTCTGATGCTCATGTGGGCAATGAGAAAGTGTTCAGATATAACTTCCAGTGCCATCAACTGCATCACTGCAGTTAATGTGTTGATTTAACTGCATTACAGTTGAGATCAGATTATTATTATTATTGAATTCACTTCAAACCTGTGACTGGCAGCCACTGTTTAAAAATCAACATCTTGCAACATTTTGATTATGTAGTGTTTCAATGCTATGACTTAAACAGTGTTAGTTCAAATTCATAACAATTAGGTTAAGATATGTGTGTGTGTGTGTGTGTGTCTGGAGCTGTGTGGTGCCTTCGTGGTGGCCTTTGGAGAATTCCAGATGGTGCATTCCAGATTTGCTTCCCTAGTCACCACCTTCTGGCCCATCTACCCAGCCAATACCCTGGTTGTCACTGGGACCATCGTTACCTGTGTGTGTTTTCTGGGCGTTCTAGGGTCCATGAAGGAGAACCGCTGCATGATCATCACTGTGAGTAGCACACATAGTCCAATGTGGATGAGCCAGTGTCCGGTGCGACCACCTTCAAAGTGACAAAATGTGGGACAAGTAGTACGTTTCAGTAAGACAATGAGGGCCAGCTGCAATCATTTAAAGTCAAACTTTTTTAACATAACATGCAGATATTTAACCTTTTCCCCCATAAAACAAACAAACAAATTCTATAGTACCCAAGACATAACCTAAACTTAAAAAACACACATAATTTGCAATGTAACAAAGTTATTGATGCATTATCTTAAATCTACCACATTTATACACCTGATGTATAAATAATCAATTTCAATATAAGCAGGTCTCTGTAAAACCAACAACTCATGTGGATTACACGACCATCTGTGACAAATAACGTGAAAATAAAAAATGTAAATACCTCACCGCCAAAAAACAGATTTGGCATCACAATCCAGCAGGTGGCAGGCCAACAGCGTTCTCAGCGCTATGAGTAGCACGTTTCTGAAACTGAAATTGATGCAGAAAACCAACCTGCAATGCTAGAACTTAGGCTATAACACGATTCAATAACCATGAATATACTATATTTTGTGCAGAGTTACCCTTGATCTGAATCTCTCTTGAGATTTGAGATTTTTTTGCAGTCGGTTAACCGATATAAATATCCAACTCATTGTCGTTTGGTTTGCAGAAAAATTGCACTGTCGTTTTCCGTCAGATTCACGATCATGTCCGACATAGGTCTTTTAAAGCCAATAACATCGTTTAGTCCAAAGAACTAAAATTCCAAACCTAAACCTGAAATAAAAAAAATATCCAGATGCCCTAGCCTCCTGTTTGAACATGTTTTACTGTGATTCTAGTTTTTCCTGACGCTGTTTATACTGATCTTAGTGGAACTGGCCATGGCCCTGGTCTTCCTGGTCTACAGCAGAGAGGTAACACGCTTTACATTCATGTATGTATGTACTGTAGCTGATACAAAAACACATCCATAGAACACTGCTTTTGCTTTTGGAACAATTATAATACATTAAGTCATGAATAAACAAAAATATATTGTCGAATTTTCTTTTCCTATTGTATGCATGTACCTAATGTGTCCAGCACGTGGCAACATACTAAAGGTAAAACACCTGTCTTCCACCTTTCTCAGATTGACAAATATTTTGAGAAAGACTTGATGAAAAGTTTACAGATCTACAGAGAATCCAATCCAGGAGAAAACGTGATCATCAAAGACGACTTTGACGACGTTCAACATATAGTAAGTTACATCCGTCGCACTTTATTTTTTTAATTATCTTCTACGTCACAAGGTTTTATTTGCATAACTGATGACCACGCTGTTGTTATAGTTCCAGTGTTGCGGAGTCCACGGTGAGTCTGACTGGCTGGGAAAAGTTCCAATCTCCTGCTGTGTTGAAGATCCATGTGACGTCATCACTCATAGCAACTGGCAGGAGGTAAGTTAAAAGTTCGGTGGAGAAAAAAAGAATAATATATCGTCTATTCTTTAGTATTGATTTCGGTACATTGAATAAGTTTATATTAAATAAATAAATAAATAAAATATTATTGTATCTTTTAAGGGTTGTCTATTTCTACTGAAGGACTGGTTTTCTAGAAACTACCTGAGCACTGGAGCAGGTGTCATCACCATGTTCATCATACAGGTAAAACAAAGATTAGTTGTGACTGAAGACAGAGGATTACTTTAATGAACAGTGGTGTAGGGATAGCTGTCTTTGTATCGCCAAAGACTGAATGTAAGACTAAACTTTTGTTTTTCTTTATTCACAGTTGGTGTGTATTTGTGTCACCTTCCCGCTCTTTTGTCACATCAGCAGACGTGGACTTGGATATCAATAAAAAATTAATAAACTTAATATTTATTTTTCACATCTTGCTTTATACTACTAATTTATGTCAGGAAACTTTTTCTTTTAGATAGGACTGTAAAATATGCTGTTAGTTCACACCCCAGTTTCCTAACACACAAAGAATAAAATAAAAATCAAATAAAGAATCAAATACGAGATCTCAAATTTTAAGTTTTACTTGCAGCAAGGAGTACAGAACAATGGTTACATTCAGAACTGCACTGATGAACACCTCAGTGCTCAAAGCTTAAATACAGTTTTTTTTTGCACACACTTCAATGGTCAGTACCTTAGATAATGCAGTACGGATGTTTTTCTCTCTTTGTCTTTTGTTGGTCTTCCGTCGGTCGTCGGGCAAAGAAACCAGTTCTGACCGGTTCTGTGTCCTGTCTCTATCTCCAAGTGTAACAGTCGGTACCATTCAGTGCTGTCCATATCATCCTTTAATGTAAACCATCAGCACACCTGTCTTCAGCACTTTCCCTTTTAGTACAGCACAATAACAACATTCAATAACACTATACATTGATACGAAACGTAATACAATGAATATTTTGTAAATATTGAATAAATGTATTTACAACACCTCAACACAGAGTAAAATCTTAAAGACGTTATATTCCGAAAATGCAATGATCCTTCAACGATTGTCGCGGTACATCCGGTTCGCAGTAACGGTTGATACCGGCCGATCAGTCCAACCTTTAAAGGGTGGGGACCGCTGATATAACTATATATTGGTCTTTTATTTCCTTTGCCGTACAAAAAAACAGAGATACGCTGTTGGTTTCAGTAACAATAACAGAACGTTTTCATTACAAATAGTATGCATATACACGTATAAGATGAGAACAGGTGACAAAAAAAGTTTATCCAGTTTATACAAAAAAAGTCACTAAGGAGACGAACTCAGTTCATTTCATCTGTGTTAAACATTCAAGTAAGACTTTTTACAAAGAAGCTACGATCTCCGCTCATCAGGCTCAGCATTAAAAAACAAACATAAATGAGCACAATTTTTTTAAAAACAGACTTTTTTATTCACAGTATGCAGTCACAACACTGATGTGATATGTAAACTTTGTTTCATATTTTCAATCATATTTGGTGATAAATACTTTTTTTTTTCAGTCCGTACCTCTTATCCAGTGTTTCTCAAACAGTGGGTCATAAACCAAAAATGTGTTGCGGGAAATAACTTTCACTAAACTGCGGAATATTTCTCTTGTATGCACTAATACTTATTATTTGCTGCTGAAAATACTGTAAGTACACCTCCTTCAGATATTGTTTAGTATTATTGTCTTGTTGTTAAATAAAGTCAGCGTCTCTTTAATGAAGGTATTCTGTCACAAGACAGATATTAGATAATCATTCAGTATGTTAAGACTGTTTTGAACCTTGAGAATCACTGCTTTAATAAACCCAGTGTTTATAATTATATTTATAATAATAATAATTGAATAAAGGCATTATTCACTTATTTACAAGTCTTACATATCCATGTGGTCAGAAGTGATGAAATGATGTAAAGAAATGTACCGGAACGTTAATATAAACATTTGTACACTTTGAACAAACACTAGGGGGCGACATGAGGCAACCTGATAAAAGGACCACCCTGTCTAGGTTGAACATTAAAAGTCTTTAATAAAAAAAACTCTTTTATACTACAGACAGTTCATATTCCTGCAGTACAGAGAGAAGACAGAGGAGAAACGGGTAAAAAGAAGTTTCTTCTTTTCTCTTCTTCTTCTGTGATTTAAACACTGTTTTTATGAGACTAAGACCAACCATTTAAGGTCTTTTGGGGAAATCTGTCTCTCTGGAAGATTAATTACCAGGAACTTAAAAATGTACCAAAAACGTAGCACTGTGTGTACCTCCCCTCTGCCCCCCACCAAAAAGAAACTAACAGTCTATCTAGAACAGCAACAAAAAACAGTCCCAGGATTTATGTCCATTTTCTACAGGTCTGATGCTATCTACCAACTTCAAAACACAGATCAAAATGAAAGCAGTGGAACTATTTTTGAAGCCCTAGACTAACTTAGCTGAAATCAGGAACTTCGTGAAGAAATGGGACTATTTACTTAAATGACAATTGACTGATGAGCAGTGAAGAAAGTGCAGTGCTTGTTGAGAACTTGATGGAACGTTTTTACTTGTCACACTAAATGACTGTCAACATTCACTGGAATCTTAGCTTGGTGGAAACACAAACACACACTTTAAACCTAGAACTCTTTTTCTTTACCATTTTTCTGCTACAAAAAGATGCTGATATTTTGAAAAGGAAAATGGCGTCAGGTACTGCCCCCTAGTGTCTGATTGTCATAGTTTAAAATGAACAAAAAAGAAGAACAGGCACAGGAGTTTTGCACTAACAAAATAATAAATTAATACAGTAGCTTGTTTTTTGTGTACTTATTTTGTACTCTGAACAAAAAAAATACAAAAATCTCAGCAGTACTATTTGATGAGACAGACCTTTGGTCCTCATTGACCTTCACTATGCGTTGTTGTCACCTCTACATTTAAAAATGCTTCTCCTGTGGTGGATCACAGATCTGTAGAAAATAAAAAAACACATATTTAGCCCAATACAGTAAACATTTAAATCAATTTAAAGCTTTCAAGTACTTGAAATGTCCAGCTCAGCAACTTTGATTATTTTAAGCTAAACTTTAGATATCATTTAGCAGTGGTTTTAGCTCCTTCAGCTAGACTTTCAAATGTATTTAGACCCAACTTTTAAATGATTTTGCTTAACTTATGTCTTGGTCTTTTCACGCCAATTGATTATGAAAATTAAAATAAATAAATGCTGGAATAACTTTTGCTTGTTTGAACACATGATTGACGAAACTAGTTTAAAGCATGTGAACTGTTAAATGCACACGTTTTTCATGCAAATATTTGCAACACACAGATGACAAAAGGAACAGGCAGAGAAAGTTCAGGCAGGTCAGCAGGTGACAGAAGGAAAAAACAAAGATGTGAAAAAGACAGAGAAAGAACGGACCGCGTTCAGCTGCTACAGCAGCACAGAGGAGGCGTCAGAGTCTGAATCATAGGCGGTGGTGAGACAGGGTTCATGGGGACTGCTGTATTCCTGAGCACGCCGGTACTCATTGTACTCCTGACGTAGAGCGTTGAAGCGTGCGTCACTGAGAGAACGACTGAAGTGGCGTTGTGGCGGGTTGGCAAGTGGAGGAGGACTTAGTGAGGGAGATGGGCCTGGGATGGGATCAGGAAGAGGACATGTGTGGACAGACACATCACGATGGTCATGCTCACAACAGTCATTTAACACAGAATCAGAGAGAGAAACAGGCAGCAGCTTCTGGATGGGAATTATTGAATCTATAATCGATACTGCAACTTAAAGTATTTGCCGATACCGATATCAACTGAATACTTTCTCTTCTCCTCCAGCATGACGTGGGCTGCAGGCAACAGTGTTCCTGCTTACGGCATATTGTGCAAAGTTAAGCAGGCATTGGATCAGACAGGCTATAGTTTTTTGTTTCTGATTTTCGATCCTAAATTTTTCTCCAATATCGGACATACAGATCAGACCAATCAGATCAAGCCATCCATAATTTGAAATAATCTTTAATTTTTTAGGGAAACATTTTAAAGGACAATTTTCTAATGTAAATGGAATAGCTTCTAAAACCTAAAAACTTTATTTTTGCTATAGAAGTCAGCCAGGACACTCCATGTTTGAATGCTGCTCATTTCTAACTCTGGTTCACACAACCGTTCATGCTACACCAAAAACATTCCAAATGTCAAGGTAGGAGAAAAAGAATACCTTTCTGTCGCTGGTCCTGGACACCTGTGAACTGATCAGGTGTGAGTTTGCTCTGTTGTCTTTGCAAGCTCATTCGGCAGCAATTAGTCCTTGTGGTGTCCAGGACCTCTGGTTCCCCACAGGCATCAGCTGAGTCCCATTCATAACTCTCATCTACTGATGTTTTCCTTCTAATGACATGACAAAACACAGTGATCAGATGAAGACTGTCACACAATAAAAAAATAATGCAATAACACTGGTGCATTATTATCAATTCCACCATCATCATGTGGACAGGTGTTGAGATATAATTTGGATCTGTACTGTACTACTTACAGCAAATATATCTGTGTGCAGTAGGTGTTAAGAACCTGGACAATTGGTACAGTTATAGGATTTGATAAAGATTCAAACAATCTTTGGGCAGGAGGTTGTGATGACAGTGATGCTATTTATTCTTGCTAATAGTTCTCCTTTTGCTTCAAATGTGTTGCTCACTGTCTTTTACTGTCCCTGTTCAAATTAGAAGGCTCTATAAAACAAACATTGAAAAAGGACAGTAACAACAAAATTAAGGTTACCATAGGAACAGAACTGTTGTATCAGATTGTAACAATTTGACACAGTTCCATCCCAGTTTTATTTTTTGTATCATTTAAAAATCACAATAAAATAAATTTTTGCTACATCCAGTGTGCTCTAGTAGTGGTCCAAGTGTGGCACTGTTTCACCTTTTCCCTCTTATCTCCAGCAGCTCCAGTTCCACTTGGTGTCGCTTGCTCTCATCTGTGGTTTCAGGGGAGCTGAGCAGAGTTGGAGTGATTGACAGTGAGCGCTGGTACAAACCAGCACTGCCTCTACCACTGCTCTGACTGGCAAAACTGGTCCTCCCTCCTGACCTGATCTCAGTCTCTCCTCCCCTACATGATATCCTCTCTGTATGTCTGTAACCATCTCCTTCTCTGGACAGGTAGGGGGAGGAGTAATGAGAGGAAGGGCAGCTAATTCCCCGAGGTAGGTAAGATCTGGGAGGACCTCTTCTTGGTTCCATGGGTCTGGTGTTTTCTCCTCTGTAACCTGACGACTGTTGGTGCAATTGGACAGGAATATGGGAGGGTAAATGCAGATACTTGTACTGTGCTGACCTCAGAGTCTCTTCATAAGGCGGAGAACACCGGGAGGAGTCAAGAAAAATGGTGGCCTGCCGATGTGGATCAACAGGTTCCAGGGTCGGTGAAACAGAGAATGGTCTGGGGGGGTACATGACAGGAGAGTGGTAGGATGGACTGAGTAAAGGTCTGTATGTGTGTGAAGGTCTCTCTAAGCCATCAATGCTAGGCTGTCTGAACGGGACATAGTCCCTCCAAGAATGACCTGGTCTAGGGACAGGAGAAGGGGTGCGGCTTGAGGACTTCATCCTAATATCTGGGTATGGGAACTCATCCCGGTAGCACTTCTCGGAAACATAAGTCCTTGGTATTTCAAAGGGCTGGCATCTCTGCGCGCCCAAACTAATAGATTTCTTCAAAAAAGGGAGAGGCTGACTCATCCCTGACACAGGCCTACAGGGTCCAAAACTCATTGATTTCTTCAGAATAGGAACTGGGACCTGATTTATCCGTGAAGCAACATTGTTAGTTCTGCTGCTCTGAGAAGTTCGTCTTTGGGGTTGCTTTGACGAAGACTCATCTCTGTCTACAAAACCCAAGGACTGTTTTGATGCTATATCTGCCACACCTCTCACTGCATTGAGCAAGTTACAAGGTAACGCGCATCCAAGTCTTGATCCCGGTCTGTCAGAGTCCTTACTCCAGCCTCTAATTTGTCTTTTCTCATCATAGAGCTGCTTGCTTGCTTTCTCTGGACTGGGTGAGGAAGATCTTCTCTCATCTGGAAATCTAACTCTGTGTGCAGAGTCTCTATGTTCTACATGGAGAGGATATTTATAGCCTTTTTTGCTTCGAGCATAGTTTTCTTCAAGGCAAATCTCTTTATTGACAGAGACAGTTTCCTGGTCCTCCTCAGCCCGAACCTCCCAGTTCCTGGGAACTACATCTGGCTTAGAAAGAGGTTTTCCTGGTTTGGTTGCTGATTTTTGTCCAGCAGTGTCTGGGATTTCAGCTTTTTCCACTGGTTTTTCCACACTCATTTCATTGAAACTAGGAATGCTCATGTACTCCACAATGGTACTTGTCTGCAGAGGAGACATTTTGGCAGGAGGAGCTGCAGCTTTGACTTTAGAAGACTCAGACATTGGGGTAACAGATAAATTAGACTGAGGGCTCTCCACCTCTTCTACAAGCGTTAAAGATGAAACGGGACTGGGACTGTCTGAAAAAATAAATTTGTTGCTCTTCCTGGATTGTTTACGGACATTCTCTCTTTCTAACTCTGTGTAAACTCCAGAAGTCCGGAAGTCACTTTTCCCCTGAACGTCCCTGTGTTTGGGCTTCGCCCCTATATCGTGGTGTTCATAAGGTAAAGTAGAACTACTTGAGGGACTCGAGTCCTTTGTGGCAGTATGCACTTCCAGTCTCTCTGGAAAAATTTGATGTGCTGAAACAGAATTGTCGGTCTTCTCACCGATGTCTGCAAGACCTTTGAATGTTTCTTTCCAGTCCTGTAAGCCTCCATAAGCATAAGAGTGCCTGGATCTTGGAAAAATGCCAGTGGCCTGCTCAGTTGCAGAACTTCTGTTAGCATCCGACTGTGGACTCAAAGACCTGGCTCTGTCTGGATTTGGAGCACTTTTTGAGGAGATATCTGCAGACAAAACGGTGTTACTGGTGGGAGGAGAACGGGATGAATTTGCAACAAGAGAGTCTGTAGAGTTGGGTGATGTGATTTCTCTGAGACTTTGAACAGGAATGATTTTTTTAACAGAAGTCACAGGACTAATATCCCAGTTTATATGAGATGATGAAGTTCTGTCCATGGGACTGCTGGTGTTCCAAAAGTAACACCCCCTCCGATAGTCAGACAACCGACTGGCCTGACCCGAAGCCCTGTGTTTCTGTCTGATTGTTACATCTTGGGGCCTCCACATCGGCTCTTCCTTTGTCTCAGGTACATCCATCTGAAGATTTTCCGTTGTTGAAGATGTGTCCTCATCTTTTTCACTTCTATATTTTTGTTGATCAGCTGAGTAGCTCTTATCTGGTGTTTCCCTCTCTTTTGACAGTTTAACACTTGTGTTAAAGCCATCCCTCTCTGGCTCACAGTCCACTTGTGTAACCAGGGTGCTGTTGTCGATCAGCCCACTTCCCTCTGACTGATAGTCTAAATGTTGGAGTTGGTGTCTGTCTCTAAATAAAAACTTTGATCTCTTGTCCAAACAAGGAATAACAATTTCAGTGTTTCCAGACACGTGATATCTGTCTGGATCATTTGGTTTCTTCTCACTGCTGTCTGAATAAATGCTTGCTCTTTTCAGTAGAGCCTCAGGGCTTTGTTCTTCGTCAGAGTAAAAACAGCCGTGACGGGAAAAGTTCCTAGCCATGGCCTGAATTCTGCCAGGAGAACAGGAAGGTCTACTGAGCACTGGGCTGTTCACAATAAGAGATGAATCCTTCCTCTCATCCTTCTCTGAGCTCAACAGGCTGGACTTAGGAGAATCTTGTAAAGATGTCTGGATGCTGCCTGAACCTTTCGTCACACCCTTACTTTGCGTTAGGTTTTTATCATTAGATGGGCTGGAAGGCTCAGGCTGTGGTTGGACTGTGAAGCGTCCATCTGGTCCTCTAGAAATGGAATCCCGCATAGAGGGTGAAGTGTCCTGTGAACCCAGGTGACTCTCAAAGAGTGTGTAGTGAAGTGGTGGAGAGCTGGACAAAAGTTGCTTCCGCTTCTGGTCGTGGTATTCTCCACGACTGTCTGTTTCAAAGGAGGAGCTATCGGACTGTGAGGCGGAAGAGATGGGGGAAAATGAGAAAGTCGGACAAAGCTTCAGATTTAGGATACTGTTTGGGCTCCGAGGAGGACGAGTGCTGAGAAAAGAGCAGACACAGGGCATGAAATCTTCAAGATGAATGTAAATTTCTGTCATTTTAAGACATTAAAGACTACAACCAGGATAGGAAGTAAGGGTTAAGTAAAATAGTGAACTGCCACACTGCTCTGTCCTCATGTAATGACATAAGATGCCTAATAAAAGCGTAAAGAAAATAAAAAAGACTGATCAATAAAGAGACACATGCTAGTTGAAATCGTAAAAATCATCAATTAATATTACAAATACATTTCAAACAGAGCCTGAAAAACAAATGGTGTGGAAAGTTTTGAATATAAACAATACATTTATTTTAAAAAAATCCAACAAAATGCCCAGATTATTTAACTCACTGTGAAGACCAGTTCCTCTGAAAGCCAGGTGGCAGACCTACAGATGTGTGATAAAAGAATGAATTATTATAGACAGATAATAACTGTTAAATCACATCCTATTTGAAACAATAGAAACTTTAGCACCGAGCTTCTGTGTGTTACCTTGTCTCCTCTTTCTCCGTAGCCGTCGTCGCTGGGCCATGTAGCAGGCTGTCACCAACGACAGGATGATGGTGAAAAACAAGAAGCACAGTCCGCCTAACACACCGGCCAGCAGGGGCCGAGGAATGACCCCCAGGAAACCGGGCCACTTAGAATACACCTCCATGCCTGTCACTGGAGTACAAGGAATACTGTCAGCAAAACTTCTGGCTTCTGCTACAATCATTTTAGAGAGGAGTTAAAAAAATGGAAACATCGTTGGCTGTTGGATTTATACAAATGAACTCACCGTTTGTGGATACACTTAGAATATTACTGGGATCACTGAGTATTTTGTTGCTGCGTGACATCAGTCTGAACTCATAACTAGAGTCCTGGGAGAAAGAAATATCAGAGGGTTGATCGACTTCTCAGGGTGGTATGAACTTGGGGGTTACTCTTTGAGAATTATTACCCTTAGCAAGCCTTGGATGAGCAGTTCACTCTGATTGATCCTTATGTTGCTACTGAGGACTTTCCACTGGCCCTGATCGCTGCGAGCTTCCAGTACATAATCTGTCAGTGTAGTGGATGGATCTTCTGGAGGCGACCACAGGAGGAGGAGGCCTTTCTCTATCCAGTTTACTGCTAGTAGAGTGGGAGGTGCCAGAACTGGGAGAATCAGGACAGCTGTTGGTTCTTCTGGTGGTACAACTGAGAAAGAATAGAACAGAATTAATGCATACTGATAATTTGGAAGATATTTCAGCCTTTAACATGGTGTTTTTAAAGTATCTAATTTACATTTTAGTTGTAATGGACCCTGGTGGTGCCCCATTTCAAACAACTGTGTTTATGTAAAATATCTTCTCTGAGGTTTACAGTTTTAAAGATACAAACCTTTAGTTCTCACAGTAAGGATTTCACTGAAGGGTCCGCTGCCCAGTTTATTCTGAGGTAGAATACAGAACTGGTAACTAGTTCCACCGAGGAGTCCAGTCACAAGAAGGTTGTTTTTTGAAGTGGGAACAGGCAACGATACCCATTCATGTTCTCGGCGAGATTCCTGCTTAAACCTAAAAATACATTTTAAAAACTTTTTAGTCAGTAAGAAATTGTAATTACATATTTTTGTTTTGAAAATCAAACCAAAGTTATTTTTAGAATGTTCATATAAGTTACATATTTTAATAGATTTGTTTGTTTGTCGTAGCAGACACATTCTTTAATACTTCAAATACTGCAAAAATACCATAATATCTGTTGATGTCAAGGTTATTCATCATCACTTGCTTGGACTTTTAGTCCAAGAAGTTTACTGACAATTAACTGACAATTCTCACTCACAAACGTTTGAATGCAACTAATTCTAGTTGATGAACACATCTATCAAACCCTTACTCACCATACTGTGAACTTCTGTGTGAATCCACCATCAAAGCCTGAGATCCAGGACACATTTGCCTGGTTGATGTCTGTGGCAACATACACTGATGATACAGTATGAGGACTGGTGCCTGCAAAATATAAAAAATATTGTCTATATTTAACCTGCTGAGTGACAATACTGACAGAAGGGAAAGCATGAGGTCACTCACCTAGTACCTTGACCAAGGTTCCTGCACTGACAGTAGCTACACGGTTAGAGGCCAGACACTCCCAGCCTCCATGATGATCTTTGTTGAGTGGCTGCAGCAGCAGAGAGTGGTCAGCCAACACAGTATAGGGAGGCTGAGGGACTGGACCAATCTATGATTATAGACAACACCAAACTCCAAATGTTAATTTGACATAATTTATCAAGTCCAAACATTTCTGGATACTATCATAGGTGTTAGACCAGGAACTCAAAACAACGAGACCTACATGAAGACTTGTGGTGGTGGTACTATGTACTATGAAAGCCTGCTGTACCTGGATGTATGTAGGGTTTGCAAAATGTAACTATATATAAAGTACGTATCTCTCTGCCACTAACACTTCCAGTTAAAAATAGTAAAAGGCTCATTCGTTACCTTGCTCCATGTGATGTTTGGGGTGGGGTCTCCACTGGCTTCACAGGGTATCGTCAATGCTCTGCCTACTTCCTTGAAATACTCTGGTTCAGGAGTGACAGTGAACAAAGGTGGATCCTGAGGAAGGCAAAAGACACATCAGCATCATCATCATCATCTGCGTATAAAAACATTTCTCTGATGTGACGAGACAGAATAAGTCCAGACTGACCTGAAGAAGGACTTGTGTAGGTTCTGACTGACCCATGGTACCATAGCTGTTGAAGGCTGTGCAGGTGTACACGCCCACTGCATTGTCGTTGACTGTTGTTATGAATATAGAGCCTTCTGAGTTCACCATCCAGCCTGGGAACTGGGCAGACGCAGAAGAAGAGAATATAAACTCAGTGATGCTAAAAACACATTCCTGCATTTTTAGGGATTTGACCTAGAATTGTTTTTGAGACATGATTCAATCCAGTTGTAACACTATACCTGTATCCTGTACAGGCTGGTCTCTGTGTTAGACTCACCTGGTCAAGATCCAAACTGTGTCCATCCTTGGTCCAATTAACATACAGGACAGGTGGATCAGCCTGGAAAGGGCAGACGATGGCTCCCTCCAGTCCTGCCGGTAGATACATTTCTCTGGGCATGTTTCTAACACGTGCAGGATCTGAAAGAGCAATAAAAGAAAAAAAAAAGATGAACAACCATGGGTTTGCCTAAAAATTATTTTCCAGCTGTTTTTAACATATTGCCTGCTCATTGTAAATATTTGAATCATAATACAATATTGGTGTGGCACCAAAAAAAAGGGCTTACATTTAACACTTAGATGTGCAGAGGCAGAGGGCGGAGTCAATATCCCATTAGTTGGGATACAGGTATAGTAGCCAGCATCTTCCGGAATTAAATTGGGGATGAAAAGTGTTCCATCCACCAAAATCTTAACTCTTGACTTTAAAGATCTGGAAAAAACAAAATGTTCAAACTCCAGATGTTCAAACACAATACCATAATTATTTCTTCATCTAGGGCAGGGGTGGCTAATTAATTTTCCCAGGGGGCCAAATGGTAAATTACAATGTGGATAGTTGGAGTTGAGGGCTACCAAGATGAAGAAAATTATTTTGGGAATTTGTGATACGGTAGAGTACCAATGATGTCAAAAGAACTCACTTAACACGGTAAACATTCTGTCCTTGTTTCAGCCATTCATAAGACAGGTTGGAAGGGTAGGCATCAGCTTGGCAATGCAAAAGTGCATCCTGGGAAATGTTCAGAGTGGTGTCTTCTGGAGAAATGGTAATAACAGGGGGACCTTTGGGACAGTAAAAATAAAGTAAAAATTATTCCAATCATTAGTGAAGCAATCAGATGTGATTAGCGTTGAATTCATATTGTTGCCCCAACACTGTTGCAATAGCAGACAACAAACTGTCAGGGGAAGTATGGTGCAGGCTGCATAAAGCATTTTTACAACCATGACCTGCCAATTTAGAAGCAAACTCTGCTCCAAACAGCCTGGTGTACAATCACCATGTGAAATAATATCCGGTGTTCAGTTGTAACATTAACTCACCACCTCTGCAATCCTGTTTTAATTGACATAAGTTTGATTGTGATATTCCACTCTTTGAGTGTGTTCTGTTTATTGTTTGTATTTATTTCACTATATAGTTAACATATTTTACAATACATTTTGCTACACGCTCTAAATTTTTATGTTTATAAAGTATTTTTTTCTGTCAAAATGCTTCAAATATGTTGTTGTGGAAATACAAAAATGAATGTCGGACCCTTGAAACTAAACCTTAATCAAATTAAAACATGTGCATTTGAGGCTAAGTTTCAATAACTTGCTGTGCCCAATACGTAAGACAAGCAGAGACTATGCCTCTCTTCAATTACTGACGATCTGAAACTGACCTTTGACCTGCAGCTGCAGTGAGTGGGTCAGGTTCCCCACTGAGTTGGACACGTGACATATATACACTCCTGAAGTATTTCTTGTGACAGAGGCCAAAGACAAGGTTCCACTGAGCAGCTGACAGAAGAAAAGTTGAAAAGTTGAGTCAAAGATAAAAAGGGAGACATAACAGTAGAAGACAAAAGGGTTGACCAAAGCATACATAGCAGTAATTCTCACTTTTATTTTCTCATGTTTCTGGATTGGACTGTTGTCTTTATGCCAGACAACAGTGGGCCGTGGGTTACCGTGGGCTCCACAGCTCAGAGTCAGCGAGTCTCCCAGCAGAACTTCCACAAATGTTGGGGGGGGGTTGATAAACACAGGTGGAGCTGGCAAAAAAGGAAACCAAATGTAATAGTCGTTAGTAGTCTTTTTACATGCGGAAGAGAGGATCTGAGCACTACTGAGTTTGAACAGAAAATCTACCTTAACCATCCCCCACATTAGAAGGGTCTCAGATGAAATCCATTTTGGTTGATTTTTTAACTTTATCTTGTAAATATAACCACACGACCAGAGCTGAGCCTGGAATTTTATATATATTTTTTTTACATGTTTTTAAATTAAATTGATTAATTAATGAGAAGTGTAACTACAAAATACAAAATAGAACCCCGATGCAATCCATTAAACTGCACAACAACAGTGTCAAATGTCACCTTCACCATTGTTCATTCAATTCAATTCATTTGAACAATCTCCTATGGTGACATCAGCTCTCAGTTGAATTGCTGTACAATATATCTAAAACGAACTGTAGTGATGGCATTGTGGTCCTGCTGGGTCCTTCAGTACCAGCCAGATTTCCTGCTTTGACAGTCCCCAAAAAAAAAAAAATTTACAGACCAGGTAAGAAAGTGACTGTGAATAACTCCCACAGTGTTGCACCTGTGATGGAGAGCCAGGTCCATGTTGTATTATGAAAGTCGTCTGTATTTCTGTCCATGCCAAAGATATTGCACTTAAACCAGCCTTCATCCTCCTGAGTTAGTCGCTCTACCAGCAGGGAGGCGTTCTGGGTTAGAGACACACGACCTGAGCAAGGGGAGGAGGGTGAGGGTGAGGAAATAAGAGGTAGAGAGATGGAAAGAGAAAAGCAAAAACACATGTTCAGTGTCACAGAGGCCAATGCCAAGGACCAGACCAGACTAGACCACAGACCAGATGAACTCACCTTAATTACAAAGAGTTTGAGACAGAATAACATCCTATATGTGACCCAGTAAGCATACATTACATTTGACCCCCCCAAAAATGATTTTTTTTATTTTTGTGATCTTACAAATAGATTGACTTCAAGCCCTAGTTACTAGTTCATAATTAATTTTTAAGACAGCTCCAAAGGCAGAAATACAGAGCCTTGCACATTCTTAACTGAGGTTCAAATCAATCAGTAAAATGTAAAACTCTAGGGTCTTTTCCTTCTGACATACCAACAGAGATTCCATTTAGATTATTTTTTAGCATTTTTTTTATTTTTATTGAGTGTATTGGTTTTCTCTTCTTTTTAATCAGGATTGAGACAGTTTTCTGCTTTTTGTTTACAGATCTCTACTTAACAAATTTTTACTGTTGCCTTTTTAGGCACTTTTCTGCAGTTAGCTCTAAGAAGTTGCAAAACAAACAGGTATAGTTAAAACAAATAATTAACCACAGAGATTCACTACTAATGTCTGGGTTTTAGCTAAAAATACTTTCAAAACTATCTATTTTCTGTAGGATATCCAACATATGGCCCGTGGGCCAGACCCCAGCCCGTTAGGTGGTTCAATCTGACCTTGATGAATTATGAAAGGAGAAAAATGTTCAAACACTTCATGTTCATGATATGTTTTGTAATGGAGTCACTGTTTACGGCAAGTCACACAAAGTTAAGTTGAGCATTTGGGCTTAGGTATCGGATTAAACATGCTAGATTTGGCGATGATCGATATTGGTTTTTTGACCATGTGAGTATGAGATGAGATTTAACTTTGTGCACACAACTCGGACGCATGCATATCCACACAATGTTAGAAATAGGAACCGGATTTGTTGAGGTTTACTGACGACATTATGAATCCCATCTTAAAGACCTCCTCAGGGTCTACACCTAAACTTCTAAGACTGGATGACCGAGAAGCTTTGCAGACACACACACAGTCTTCTCTGTTCTCCAGCCAACTCCTTGTCAGCCTTTGAAACTTGATCAGTGGTTTTCCTGGTGAGTGCTGTCTGATGTTTTGGTTTTAAAGATAATGGTGATATTTACTTTTGATCTGCCTCTGAATGAACCCCCTTTTTAAACTCCACAAACTTGTTGCATAAAATGAAAATGAGGGCAGAGAGTTAAAAAACACACGTATACTT